CCGATGCGATGTCAAATTTAACTCACTATAAGGGGTTGGTCTGAATGTTTCAGATTCAGTTGAGACACGCCACTTCTATAAGAAGTTAGTCTTTAAAATGTTTCAGATCCCGTTGAGACGCGCCACTTCTATAAGGAGTTGGTCTTTGAATGTTTCAGATCCCGTTGAGACGCGCCACTTCTATAAGGAGTTTGTCTTTTAATGTTTCAGATCCCCTTGAGACGAGCCACTTTCTGGTAAAACCAGTTAGTGTTTAACGTTTAAGTTCGAGGTTTGACGCGGAACTTTCATAAGGAGTTGATCTTAAATGTTTCAGATCCAGTTGAGACACGCCACTTCTATAAGGAGTTGGTCTTTAAATGCTTCAGATCCCGATGAGATGGCTGATCATTGGAAATCTGTTTAACTCTTTCGATACCTCGCTAAAACTCACTCGTGACATATTTTCCGTAATCACTCGTACCTTGTGGGTTCTTCTATAAATATGACACTGCAGTCAACATAACACTTGATTTTTCATTATTTATTACTTTTGTAAACAAACAATTCATCATCAACAGTGTTTCACGGCTTCAAATACATACTAACTGAAGCAAAAACATTGAAGCTACTTTCTCCTATTGAACGGGAAATCCCGTTCGAACTTAGCGACGTACAGCTAGGCATCCTCACACCAACAATGATCATGACCAATATCAATACTAGTACATGTTCTTCAGCAATTGGTCTTCAGCAATGAAAGGCGACTATGCTTCTCGTAAGAGGCGACTAACGAGATCGGGTGATCAGGCTCGTTGACTTGGTTGAGGCATGTCATCGTATCCCAATTGCGTGTATCGATACTCATCATATCAATCACTGGATTGTCTGGTCCAGATACTAGTTAGTGGGTCGATAAAAAAACTACCCAGTACCTGATCTGTATCACCCGACTCACCAGTACATGATGTGTATCACACGACTACCCAGTACCTGGTGTGTATCATCCGACTATCCAGTACCTGATCTGTATCACCCGACTACCCAGTACCTGATCTGTATCACCCGACTACCCAGTACCTGATGTATATCAACCCACTATCCAGTACCTGATGTGTATAAAAAAACTACCCAGTACCTGATCTGTATTACCCGACTCCCCAGTACCTGTTGTATATCAACCCACTATCCAGTACCTGATGTGTATAAAAAAACTACCCAGTACCTAATATGTATCACCCGACTACCCAGTACCTGATCTGTATCACCCGACTATCCAGTACCTGATGTGTATCATCCGACTACCCAGTACCTGATGTGTATCACCCGACTACCCAGTACCTGATGTGTATCACCCGACTACCTAGAACCTGATCTGTATCAACCCATTACCTGGAACCTGGTCTATATCAACAGAGTACCTCGTACCTGATGTGTATCACCCGACTACCCAGTGCCTGATGTGTATCAACCGATTACCAAGTACCTGATGTGTATCACCCGACTACCAAGTACCTCATGTGTATCACCCGACTATCCAGTACCTGATGTGTATCACCCGACTACCCAGTACCTGATGTGTATCAACAGATTACTCAGTACCTGATGTGTATCAACCGACTGCCCAGTACCTGATGTGTATTAACCGATTACCCAGTACCTGATGTGTATCAACCGACTACCCAGTACCTGATGTGTATCAACCGACTACCTAGTACCTGATGTGTATCACCCGAGATGATGGCTCTCTTTTGAAAGGTTGGCCTCGGTTGCGTCTCGTGTACGCATGCGCACGCGTGTTACTTCGTATTATTATTATTATTATTGACCTGATAATACAGTTATTTTACGACCAAAAAAGTCAGGGAGAAGCATAAATGGAATTGAAATTCTGTTATTGCCTTCGCATTTCGCAAAATGGCAATGTACGACCTATTTCTGATGCAAAGCTGCCTACTCTAGCGTCACATGAAACGCAGAAAATAATCGTTCTCATTTTCAAAATGTACACAAAATGGCATTATATAACTCTGTAGGCAATAGTGAGTGAGTATATGGTTTTACGGATGATACAAACCAGGTACAGGGTGGTCGGTTGATACACATCAGGTACTGGGTAGTCGGATGATACAGATCAGGAACTGGGTAGTCGGGTGATACAGATCATGTACTGGGTAGTCGGGTGATACACATCATGTACTGGGTAGTCGGGTGATACAGATCAGGTACTGGGGTAGTTTTTTTATACACATCAGGTACTGGCTTGTGGGTTGATATACATCAGGTACTGGGTAGTCGGGTGATACAGATCATGTACTGGGTAGTCGGGTGATACAAATCATGTACTGGGTAGTCGGGTGATACAGATCAGGTACTGGGTAGTCGGTTGATACACATCAGGTACTGGGTAGTCGGTTGATACACATCAGGTACAGGTTGGTCGGTTGATACACATCAGGAACTGGGTAGTCGGGTGATACACATCAGGTACTGGGTAGTTTTTTGATACACATCAGGTAGTGGGGAGTGGGTTGATATACATCAGGTACTGGGTAGTCGGTTGATACACATCAGGTACGAGGTAAGAGGTTCATATAGACCAGGTTCCAGGTAGTGGGTTGATACACATCAGGTATTAGGTAGTCGGGTGATACACATCAGGTACTGGGTAGTCGGGTGATGCACATCAGGTACTGGGTAGTCGGGTGATACACATCAGGTTCGGACTGGTCGGGTGATACACATCCGGTAATGGGTAGTCGGGTGATACACATCAGGTACTTGGGAATCGGGTGATTCACATCAGGTTTTGGGAAGTCGAGTGATACAGATCAGATACTGGGTAGTCGGGTGATACAGATCAGGTACTGGGTAGTCGGGTGATACACATCTGGTATTAGGTAGTCGGCTGATACATATCAGGTACTGGGTAGTCGTGTGATACAAATCAGGTACTTGGTAGTCTGGTGATACACATCAGGTTTTGGGAAGTCGAGTGATACAGATCAGATACTGGGTAGTCGGGTGATACAGATCAGGTACTGGGTAGTCGGGTGATACACATCAGGTATTAGGTAGTCGGCTGATACATATCAGGTACTGGGTAGTCGTGTGATACAAATCAGGTACTTGGTAGTCTGGTGATACAGATCAGGTACTGGGTAGTCGGTTGATACACATCAGGTACAGGGTAGTCGGTTGATACACATCAGGTACAGGATGGTCGGTTGATACACATCAGGAACTGAGTAGTCGGGTGATACACATCAGGTACTGGGTAGTTTTTTGATACACATCAGGTAGTGGGTAGTGGGTTGATATACATCAGGTACTGGGTAGTCGGGTGATACACATCAGGTACTAGGTAGTCGGGTGATACATATAAGGTACTGGGTAGTCGGGTGATATAAATCATGTACTGGGTAGTCGGTGATACAGATCAGGTACTGGGTAGTCGGTTGATACACATCAGGTACTGGGTAGACGGTTGATACACATCAGGTACAGGTTGGTCGGTTGATACACATCAGGAACTGGGTAGTCGGGTGATACACATCAGGTACTGGGTAGTTTTTTGATACACATCAGGTAGTGGAGAGTGGGTTGATATACATCAGGTACTGGGTAGTCGGTTGATACGCATCAGGTACGAGGTAAGAGGTTCATATAGACCAGGTTCCAGCTAGTGGGTTGATACACATTAGGTACTTGGTAGTCGGTTGATACACATCAGGTACGAGGTACTCGGTTGTTATAGACCAGGTTCCATATAGTCGGGTGATACACATAAGGTACTTGGTAGTCGGTTTATACACATCAGGTACTGGGTAGTCGGGTGATACACATTAGGTACTGGGTAGTCGGTTGATACACATCAGGTACTGGGTAGTCGGGTGATACACATCAGGTACTGGGTAGTCGGGTGATAGACATCAGGCACTGGGTAGTTGGGAGATACAATGCAGGTAGTGGATAGTCGTCTGATACACATCAGGTACTGGGTAGTCGGGTGATAGACATCAGGTACTTGGTAGTCGGGTGATACACACCAGGTAGTATGCAGTAGGGTGATACACATCAGGTACTGGGTAGTCGGTTGATACAGATCAGGTACTGGGTAGTCGGATGATACACATAGGTAGAGGCTGGTCGGGTGATACACATCAGGTACTGGGTAGTCGGGTGATACACATCAGGTACTGGGTAGTCGGGTGATACACATCAGGTACTGGGTAGTCGGTTGATACAGATCAGGTACTGGGTAGTCGGGTGATACACATCAGGTACTGGGTAGTCGGGTGATACACATCAGGTACTTAGTATTGGGGTAATACACATCAGGTACTAGGTAGTCGGGTGATACACATCAGATACTAGTTAGTGGGTCGATAAAACCCATGAGCAGAGTGTTCGAACCACCGATCATGGCTTTCTGGGCTACCGAAGGGACCCAAATCTACGCAAACTGCAACATAGCAAATTGTTGGAGAGGTGTTGGCGAGGTGTTACTCGGTGGTGCGTGTGCTTGGCGATATCGTACACGGCATGTTGAACGTAGGGTGGGATACTGTTTTGAGCCTGAAGAGAGGTATCGTTAACATCCGTACTTCTGGTGCATGCAGGATGTTAAACAAAGGAAGATGTGCTTCCCGGGAAATGAATTTTGAAATACGATTAATTTAGGAATATTCAAACGGTATGTTGCAGATAACAAACTTTTCCTTCTGCAATACATGTGACACTAGTTTAAGGGTATAGCCATGATACTGATTCTCACAAGGAAGTAACTCGCCTATCGAAATCAGTAACAATGGTTACGGCATATTGGAATGCTGGCATTGTTGACACGGGGAACACCTGGTATTATCAAGAGCAGGAATTTGCTTACAATACCGTATCGAATAGTGAATGTGACGCCTATTGAGTGGGAAATAAACTGAAGCATATCACATTTAGTTTGGAGACGTTAACACGTGATTGTCATAACAGCCTTTGAATGGTTTGTGCGGATAACACTACGCGTGTTTCGCTTTCCTCATTCACACGTTGCGCTTTACAACCGTATTCAGTCTACGTGTAAACCTTCCTAGCAAAACAACCTGTGTAGCCTCATTCCCAACTCGCACCAACTGTATTCATTTCTCATTTTGTATAAACTCATTTAGACAATTATTTCTGGACCATGACTATCACAGAGGTTGTACAGTGTTCTGTGATGAGCGTTTTGTGTTTCTCTGGTTACGCGTTAACACAGGAGTTAAACGTTACCAACGTCACTGGTACAACTGAGGTGAGTCTACCTTCCTTCTATAATCATCCCCTCTGTTCATGCACAGGATGGGTTCGAATCCCGGTTCACCCCGATTATGTTTCTAGTTTTGTCAGCATCATACCGTGCTCGTTGGTTTCATCGAAGTGGTAAACGTCTGAGACCTGCATCACTTTGGGCTTTCCTCCCACTTTAAGCTGATACGCCATGATATAACTGGAATACTGTTTAAAGCGGTGTTAAACCCAACTCACTCACTTACTATTATGGCCGCGTTCAATCATATCGCCTCATCGTCTCTTTGTCTCTTTCCGGGAGCACGGGTGGCCCAGTCGTCTAAGGCGCCGCGATTAGCTGTGCAGAGTTGCATCCCTTGGGCACGCCAGAAACCTATGATTGTGGGTTCGAATCCCGGTTCGCCCCGATTATGTTTCTAGGTTTGTCAGCATCATACCGTGCTCGTGGGTTTCACCGAAGTGGTAAACGTCTGAGACCTGCATCACTTTTGGCTTTCCTCCCACTTTAAGCTGATACGCCGTGATATAACTAGAATATTGTTAAAAGCGGCGTTAAACCCAACTCACTCACTCACTATTATGGCCGCATTCATTCATATCGCCTCATCTTCTTTTTGTCTCTTTCAGAGCTTGTCCGACAATACAACAGAGGTGGCAAGAAACATATCGTCGATCTGTACGCTACCGTCTCCATTTCCAATTGAAGGAGGGATTTTCTTTACACTTGGCGTGTCCTTTTTCCTGCCACTTGCGTTGTTTGCTGCAATGGCGCTGTTCATGTGGACATTATATAAATGCGATGTCAGTATTCCCTGCATGACAAGACATGAACGTCGTGGAGGTATATCAGAGCAAGAGATGGAACCTTTAAATACCATTCATCCGCCATCGTCTATTGAAGATGGAAGCGGTCAGGTAGCTTAGAGGTTAAAGCGTTCGCTCGTCAAGCCGAAGGGCCAGGTTCGATTCCCGACATGGGCCCAATGTGTAAAGCCCATTTCTTGTGCCCCCCCCCCCCCCATGATATTGCAGGAATATTTCTAATATTGCTACTCACTCACTATTGAAGATGAACGTGTTCTGGGACTATAACCACTTGTATTCGGTTGTGAATAAATATACGATAAATTTAACATATAATGCAAAGGTCGAAATAAAAAGGACGAGACTGAAACATGCCCATTGACTTAATCTCAGAATGTTAAAAGGTCAAATGAGGGTTGCGTCCATAATAAAGGCTATAGCCGTGCCGCATGATGCATGTTGGTGATGTTTACTTGAGATTGAAAAAGGAAGTTTGATCTATTACCTCAAAGATCCTTTATACATGTTTGACATCGTTGTGACACCTTAAAATAATCAGATGAATAAACGATGATGAAGAACCAATTTTGAGGTCATGAGATGTTATGTCACTTGTGAGGTGAGGTGAGGTGAAATTGGGTTTAACGTCGCGTCCACGATTATTGCACTTATATAGCGACGTGCATGTACGTGTATGTGTTTGTGTGGCTGCTTGTACTAGTCCGGACTGATGCCGATTTATAGTGCTAGCTCACTGAGATACCATGCCGCAGTTCAACATGAATACCCCACTCAGACACAGTATACTGACTCCGTGCCGACCAGTCCTTGTTTTAGCCACTTAATGCCGAGCGCCAGACAGGGTAACAACAAGTACCATCTTTTAACGTCTTTTCGTATGACGCGGCCGGGGATCGAACCCCGGACCTTCCGCTCTCCGGGCGGACGCTCTACCACTAGACAACGGAGGCGGTTATGTCACTTGTGAAAGGATTATTACAAACTTAAAAGGCCTAGAAAATACGTTCTCGTGTCTCTGTCAAAAGACACGAAGGGACAACTCCAAATCAACTCATACACCAATACGGCCTTACAACGAGGTGGTCGTGACACGGGCCGAGTTGACCTGCCCCCTTCTCGCAAATATGCCACGACTGAAGCCCAGGTCATCAGTTGCAGCTAGAATGCTCATCACCAACACCAGACAAGGAACATGTTCCTTCCCAAACAATGGGAGGATTTGCACAGCTGGTATGTGGTGAACATCATCTAAACAAACATGTAAACACACAGACTGAAGTGTATATTAACATACTACAAAGATAACATCTTTGAACAAATTAATTCGAGGTCGTCATGAATAACACCGTGTTAAGTCGTTTTGTGTTGATCTGTGTAGTTCTCTATATGCCATCATCACAAGAGAAGGACGACGTACATTTTAGGAAACTAGTACTGCCCCAAATGTTCAACACATATCTTTCCATTGAGACAGGTGTACTACTGGTGTTTTTTTTCTACACGTTCAAGTCCATGCAGATATTAGCCGCGAATACCTGCGCCCTCCCTCCCTCCTTCCTTCCCTCCCCCCTCCCTCCCTCTTTCCCTCCCTCACGCACTCACGGCCTCCCCCCCTCCGTCCCCCACTCACTCACTCACTCACTCCATTTACGTGGTGATTATCTAACAAGAGATGCATTTCCTTCAATAGACATTGATCTCTCTTTTCTTTCGTTTTTTGGGGGCACGGATGGCCCGGTCGTCTAAGGTGCCGCAATTCGCCCATTGTTAGGTCGCGTCTTTGGGTAGGGATTGTGACTTCACGTTTAATATTGACGTCATCTGGTTTGTTCTATGACGTTACAATATTTGTAAAAGTGGGTCAATGACATTCGTATTGATATCAGTAAATGTTTCAAAACCGATACTTTGTTGTTTCTTCATAAACTGGGCGGCAACAGAAAGTAGAGGTCGAGTTGCATGATCGATAAAAAAGTAACAAGAAGAGGTTTTGTTGTGAATTATAACATAATCTAGGGAGGGGTAACAACTGATTGATCAACCACAGTTAGAATGAAATTGTGCAATCACAGGTAATGTAAGCTCAAGGTAAACAATGGTGGGGTAAGAAATTTCATTTTCCAAAGTTGTCTGAAATGTCACCAAATATTTGTCAGACCCCAGCTAACACACGACCTTGTCACAACGTTGTGGAAAGGTTGTGGATCGGTAACGTCGTGATATTACGTCGTCTCAACGTTATTATAACGTCAACGTGCAACGTCATTTCACAACGTAATGACAAAGTTGCACATTAACGTTGTGAAAACGTTGTGCATTTGACATCACACAACGTTTTGTAACTACGTTTCGGAAACGTCGGTGAAACGTTATACAGTTTGCTTCTCGATAGTCATAAAGAAACAGAACTGCTTTATCAAAATCAGAGAATCCAGTGATTGACATCATGGACATCTATCCACGTAATTGGGATACGATGACATGCATCAACCAAGTCAGCGAGCCTGACCATCCGCGTAATGAAGAACGTAATAGAAGAGGCTCGATGACGAGCTAATGAAATTTATGACTACTTTGAAGATGTGGAGCAGACTGAGGATGATGGTGTGTTAGCTACCTTTGTTCAATTTCTCGTTGATCCAGTCAAGAATTCCTTGTTCCGCTGTCAAAGTAAGCCGCCATTTTGGTGTGAGAACGAAGCGACCTCAGTCAGCGATTGATTCGCTTGCAAGCGGCTGAAAGTTAGCGCACTGTTGTAAGGCGAATCGCTGTACATCGCTTACAAGCGATTGGCGCTTTGCATCGCACCCCTTCTTGCCTCGTGAAGTGACGTCAGAATGACGTCACATTGTCGCGGAAGATTTGTTGTCATCAGCCATCTTAGTTCAAGCTCACTCTGGACATATTACAACTAATTTAATTGATTGTGCAGCAACTGGAACTGGACAAATGATCTGTGATTTCGGATGAGGTAAGTTAATTTTTCAAAAGTAGTCTCCGCTTGTTGATATGTTTCTGTACCCGAAGATAGTCAAATTATTTAAATGTATCGTATTATTCAGAAGTGGAGGGGTTTAGAATGCAGCTTGCCGGTCACTTTCACTGAGCGTCAGTGTTGATATTAATATTTGATACACAGAACATGATGTATAAAGAGGTGAAGGAGGCCCAAGACTTTTTTCCATATTATTATTTTATGGATACCAAGGGTAATTACCACGGACAAGCAGTATATGTTTGACCAGAATTCTGTCTGGTGGCGTTTTGTGGCCGTCATATTATGTTCGGGTTTCGATCGTAAGCGTATAGGTCTGTACATAGGCCTAACGTTTGCATCGCCTACTGACCACTGACAGTTATCGCCATTTCTTCCGTGTTATTTCTGAAATCATTACTGTTTAATGTTTACATGTACTAATCTTCTGACTTTGATTTTTGTGAAACAATGTGGCTCATTCAGGCCATGGGAAAGGTTGAGTAGATTGCTCTTATACAGCGAAGAGAGGGAATCAAAACACTGGAAGTATTTTCAGATCCACTCTCTGTAGGCTGCTAGTTATAGCCCTAAAGTAATCATGATAATGAAAAAAAAATGTTTTGCTGGATTTAATAATCGACACAAAGCATTACGTAGATGTAAATACGAAAAAACAAAACAACTGGAAAAGTACTAGTCTGGATTTGCTAGTTTTATCTCAGTGCTCAATACAAAATGTACTTTACAGGAGGTAATTTGTAGGCACTTTAAACATTCAAAAATAAAAAAGTCCAAATTGACATGGCAGAAACAGGCTTTAGGCATTATGCAAATTAGCCTGGAAACAAGTTATCAAAACAACAATAAAAATAACAGCTATGTTTATGTACATAATAATCATGACATGTAAGTTGCTGTTTAAGAAGGGAATATGTTACTTTTGATATTTTGACGATGATTTACTATCCTACAATGCCACTCACAAATCACTTACCACTGACAAATCACATGCACGTGGGTTTCAACCCCCCCCCCCCCCCCCCCGTTTCACCTGTCGTCAAGGTGTCATAGGTCATGGACATTCACCTTGATCTACTAACACCTGGTTATACTCAGTTTCACAATAGTCTGTTTTGTTCATATTTTTACACACTTTTTAAGACATAAAAACCTTTGATATGCTGTGTTTGTGCCAAGGCCCAATTAGTACTGATTGAGTTGTTTGAATATTGATATATTTTGGATATTAACTGCATTTATTTAAAATCTGAGATGACAAAAACAGTTTTTTTTTTCATTTCCGTGAGTTCTTAGTCTAAAGCGCTCAATGATTTATGAAAATAATTATTTTCGGGAAGAGATAGAAACATACTTAGTGTTTCCGAAAAGGCCTAATTAGCACTGGCTGAAGTAGCCTAAATGTGGACTATCTGGTTGTTGGTGTTGTCTATAAAGTTTTATTGTAGCAAGACGCTTATCATGTTTAGTTTTAATATTTCCAAAAAAGAATCAATTCATCATATTCCGATAACCAGATCCATGCCCGACTCCCTTCTAATCAAAACGAGCAAAAGTAAAACGAGTCTCTCGTCGGCCGCTATAACGGGGTGTTTGTGGTATTGTCCTCGCTGGTGATGATAAGCTAGTCGATAGTCAAAAGTTAAGTATCACCATATATTGTCAGTGAGGTGGTCATCGTTTGTTGATTATTAAGGTGAGATAAGTGTAGCCTGTGTGCACCAATGAAAAATACAATGAAATTGATAGCAACCATATTCGTTCGGTTTTCGATCTCCATATGTTGCCATGTAGGCTACCTTACTACAGAATTATATTTAACGATATTGAACTGTATTATGTTCAATAAACGTAGTAACAAATACATTTCATATGATACTTGGTTCTCTGAAACTTTTTGACAATGAGAGAGAATAAAATGGTGATCGAAAACTGAACGGGTAAGGTCCAGTGCTCGCTACGAAATTGTACTCTAGCTTGATCTATATAAACAGCGCTGCGATGAAGAAGGGAGTCGTAATTAGCTACAATGCCTGTTTAATCTATCTGCTTCCGTTTGGATTCCAGTTTAGAAAAAGTCCCGAACAAACCATGTTTGTACTTACATGATTGTGTGTCATTGTACTTTTAAAGAGGTTTTGAGATGTGGCTCAATATA